GCACAGCTGAAATTTGTCCCTAAACTATATCGCACAACTCTGACAGGCTTCAATTCCAAGGAAGCAGCTGAGAAACACTGGCTCTTCACAACTTTCCCAGCTAGGTGACTCCACCATGGGTGTGACTCATGGACCGGGGTAAACATCACTTATGAAAGTCTGTATGGGACATCCTTGTTGTGGGTCAGGGGCAGTCATTCCCTTCCCCTCTCCTCCACGCACAAAGCGAGTCTTGCATTATCTGATACTTCTACTGGGCATAAAGCTGAGTACATGCCAGTCAGTAAGTGATAGGGGCATACTCTGGGAAGTGGGTATGTATTTTGGCAGCTACAGGAAGTTACTGAATGGTGCTAATAGTGAAGTCTCATTCATCTGCATGCTGGTGTCATGTAGGACCTGCTGGTCCTAGGTTTTTAATTCTAGTGACAAACAGAAGATAAAGGGCTTCCTCATCTGGTGCTCTGGGTAAAGTAGAAGATCAGTTGTCTTTTTTAGACAGGCTGGATAAGAGACTAGAAGGCAAAAATTTCCAAAAAAATCTATCTGTGTAGGTGTGAGCCTGAGCTGCTCTTGCTTGTGGGACTACTGAGGTGTCCAGAGGAGGAATACAGCCTTTACCTCTGTCCTGTGTAGAGGTGAGAAGACTGTGACCATTAGCCTGATGCCTCAAAGGTCCTGTTCTCCCTGAATTGGAAATGAGCTTGCTATAGCTAGATCTGAACAAACCTCAGCTTGGCTTTACAAGAAGAGACCACTCTGTGCTAAAGTGGTCTCATTGGCCAGAGTGGGAGGTAACCGTTTCATGGAAGGATTGTAATACAACTGGTTTGTATCTGGTGATAGCTGCTGGGTGAGGCAGAAACTTCTGCAAAACTGCACACACTCGCCCTTCTAGCACTAGGAGAGTTGGGAGATCTTATTTTTCCACCTAGTAATTGTACTCCTCTAGAGAATGGAGGAGTCCAGGCATTGCTCACAAGAAGCCTGCAGTCAAGAGACAGACAATGCACCCAGGTAGTGCCCTGGGCATTTAGAAGGTGGAAGTATTGAAGGCTGGTGTGTAGGAAGGAGGATGCCCATGTCTTGGATAAATGCTCCCAGAGTCGCGAAGTGGAGTGGTTGTGTCTTAGAGCCCTACTTGTGGACCAGGGCCAGGACCCCATCATTTTAAATTATCTACAAATGCAAAAGGAAGATGGTCCCTAATGTATCTTCCTGGAAGAAAGTGTGTCTGAAAGAAAAGATGATAGCATAGCAACCTAGGTCAGGGATGGTGTTAATGCATGGGGGACTGCAGGCATGAAGAGTGCGAATGGGGGGGCAAAAACTGTGGCTGGGTGTGAGCAGGATGAAGTGGGTGAAATGGAGACTTGACTTCTTGGGTTGTTGACATGTAATCTGCATGGGACTCTAGCTCTCCTCCACTTTGAGGGGAAGGGAACAACTCTTTCCCAGTTCAAGCTAGAGTGCTGCAGGCAATAGAGGGTTGACCTTGCTTCCCTGACTGTGGGGAGCAAGGTTGCTCACCATGCAAACTGAACTTTTTTAGTGTCTTGCTCCTGCTACAAGCCCTGATATGGAGTCACTGGATTTTAGAGGATGAACCTGGCTTATCTGATCTAGTAATGATTGCAAGTTTACCAAAAATGAACCAGAAGTGGGCCCCATTGCATTGGTAGGGGATATTCCCTGGGGCGAGGAAGGAGCAACAAAGCCACTTAAGAGTTATTACATTCTCCTGTGACTACTTCTGTGTGTGTTTGCTTTCTGATTGGCTGCTTATGGTGGTGGCACCTCTGAAGTCAGATCTTTAGGGCTGCGGCTGCGGAGTGCTGATTAATAGGAAATGATCTAAGGCGGTGGCTTTCAACATTTTTTCTTTTTCATTTGTGGACCCCTAAACATTTTTGAATGGAGGTTCAGACCCCTTTGAATTGTAACTGTGGGTATTTGCATACTTTTTGATTGATCACGGTCATCTTTTGTGGACCCTTTGGACATAGTCTGTGGACCTGCAGGGGTCTGCAGACCACAAATTGAAAACCAGTGATCTAAGGCAATCTTGAGCCACAGTAACACTTTCTTTGAGGGTTGCCAAGCATATTCGGCTAACTTAGAGTTGGCGATATCAGGAAGGGGGGAATGTGTTTCTGGGGCTTGCATGTGAGAATACATAGTTCTTCTATGTCTCCTTGATTTGAGGGTACATAAATTCCATACTTTTTTAACTACCTGGTCTTCAGATGCTTGTACCAGAGCTTTTGGTGCCTCTGTATGTACTGGAAATCATCTTGCAGTGGAATGAAAAGGGCAGAGTTCTAGCCCCTTTAACTCTTGTCTCCTGCACAAAGGTTGTCCAGAAAAGGCAGGAGTTACAATATGATTTTTTTTTTTCACTAAGAGAAGGAAACTAAACAAACTTAGTTGCTGCCCTCTTCCAATCTCCACTGCTTCCCCTGGTTCTGTGTACCTGTTGATCTGGTCTTACTGTATCATCTGCTCAGCTGGTAGTACCAGAAAAAGAGCAGAAGTACTGCTCTGCCTTGGTTCTGAGCTGCATACTTAAACTTTTCTGGTACTATGTCCTTTCCTTCCTTCTCCAGAGCAGCTGCCAATTTTCCTGAATCGTGAAGTGGTCTCTACTATGTTAAGATATCAACAAAGTACTTCTGCCACTTGCTTAGTAGTTATTGTCCCCTTTCACTGTAAAAACTTCTCATTCAAAACTATATTCCAGGGATTTCTGGAATTAATTATCTGGGGGGCTTGTCTTTGCCATTCCCTGTCCAAACTGTTCCTAGAACTTGAAAAACTGATATCAAAACTACCTTTTACGTCTAGTTGCTAGTGAATACTGATGCCATTGCATTCGGTTCTCTGGGTTTGCAGCTGTGGTCAGTTTGATCTGGTGATTGACAGGGGCTCACACTACTTGGGGGAACTCCAAAATAGTAGCATAACTAGAGGTGGATGAGTGGGGTGCCAGCTCCAGGCATCAAACTTGGGAGGAGTGTAAGATTGGTGACCACTGCTGCCAGCAGCCTAGCCACAGTGGCTGCTGTTGCTGCCCAGGGCACTAACCCTGATTATTAGGCCTCCGCTCTGGAAAGAATGTGGCAGCAAAAGGACCCTTCTCACTCCTGACATGATGGGCACCTGCAGAACTTGTACACCTACAGCAGTCTTGTGTCTTTGGTAAAATGCCAGAAACAGTCTCTTGTAACACCTATCCATTGTGGTGTTCTCTGTGTAAGTAAAAAAGACGGACTGACCAACCACTCCCTTGAAGGAACAGCCATTCTCCATCTAGTGCATTAAACAACTGCTCGCCTCCACACTCAGATTCTAATATTGGGTAGTTGGTCAGAGCTGGAGATCTTGTTGGCAAGCACTGATCTTTCCAGATCATGGTGTGTGTGAGAGGTCACCCTGGCCTCTGAAACACATGTCTAGTCAGGAGTTCAGGGGAGTGGAGGCTGTCCAGACCTTCCATCCCCCCCCCCTTTTAGGGCACTGAGACAAATCCAAAGACTAATCCAGATGTTTGATGCCTCCATGGCTGTAGTTGTAGTAAGTGTCCAGGAACTGAACCCCAGGATACTACCACTGGACCACAGGGGACTCCAGCTGGATGTCAGTGGTTGAAAATATGCCTACCTCTGAGTCATTTCTCTCTGGATGAGGAAGGAAAAAATACTCTGCTTAAGGGTAACCTGTAAAATATTTTCTTAATTGCATTGTCCCTTTTTTTCCCCCCTGCTTCCTGATGATGAAATCTGGGTCAAACATTTACTTATCCCAACATTTGTGTGTTTTGCTAAGAGTCCCTTCTTAGCTTCCAATGAAGTAAACTGCTGCTTATGAAAGCTCATGTATCTTTAATTTGTACCTTCTAGACTAACAAAAATCTACCCTGCCTTTTGCTTGACTGCAGACCAGCACAGCTAACTACCCATCTTTGCTGGAGATTTCCAAGTAGTCCTAAATGTTTATCAGGAATCCTAACTCTTCAAGTGAAGGGGCAGTAATTGGATTTTTTTGTTTTGTTTTGTTTTGTTTTTAACTAATTTTGTAGAGATCTAGGAAGTGTAATTATGGACATTAAACTGCAGTAACCAAGCCCTGCTACTCTCCACTCCAGTCCCAAACAGTATCTTGACTGCTTCAGATTCCTGGCATCTGCTAACTTCCTTGGCTCTTGTGAGGTCTCCACTTTGAGAATTCATAGTCATTTTTAGCCTTCCAGCTTAAACAACTTTCTTCTTCACCACCCTCCCCCAGGATCCTACATGTCACCTCTTTAAAACCCTAATTTCAGCTTCCTCTGCAGACAGTTGGTGAACACTGTACAGCATAAGGGTGATACAAAGGTTAAAAGGTCCACAGTGTACATACAAGTGCATGTGTTATACACACTCTGTAAAGTATACTATATATAATTAAATAAAGCTTAATTTAAAAATCTGAGCAGTATGAGAAAATTCTGCTTGACATGTAAGATCCTTGGGGCAGGGATTTTCTGTGTTCTTGCCTCTTGCCTTGGGTTCCTGGTCTCTGATTGGAGTCCTCTAGCACTACTGCAACAACACTAATTTAATTTCTAAATGTGTGAATCACCATGTGTCTTTTGATTTGTGTGAATCACTTGGCATTTTGGCAGGACAGCCCTTGAAAGGCATTGCTTGCTGATTCCCCACCCTGATGCTCAGAGGAATCCAGCTGGTTAAGCCTGAGAGAGCCAGTAGGACTGTTTGGAGGCTTTTGGGGGTGGTGAGAACACAAATGTGGGTACTAAGCCTGGTGCAGGTACTGAGTTTGTTTTAGTCCTTTCTAGCAGCAAGCTGTTCCCTTTGCTCAGCTGTTATGATGGTGCCTTTCCCGCACAATGCTGTCATGCCACCCCAGCGCTTCTATTTAAACTCTCTCTGGAGTTGGATCTTGTGACACTTGGATTTGGCATCTCTTCTGCAGGCTGGAATGTGGTACATTTGAGGGTGGAGAGTAGCAGCAGCTGCTGTATCAGGGCGTGCTCCTCTGTATTTGGCAGAAAGGGAGACCTGGCTCCTACCCTGGGACCTTTGGCTTGTCAGAGCAGCGATACCTGTATCTCTGGGTTGAAGCAGCAACTTCTAACTGTGCCCCACCTCTCTCTTCTCCAGTCTACTTCAGGAACTCAGCAGAGTCCAGCAAACAGTCCCCAGGTGTCCTAGACTCCTCGTTCTTTTGGCTTCCAGGTATGTAGTCTATTTGTTTCTGGCCACAAGACTGGAACCAGCTGCCTTGTTAAGCATGCAGGGTTGTCACAAGCTGATTATCAAGGCAGAACAGGGTGTGTCCTTCAAGCATTAGGATTTCTGTACCTGAGTTACTTCTCTAGTGTAATAACTTGCCTCTAACTATGGGTTTCCTGGAAGGCTGTGGGGCTGGGGCAGTAGTGGCTCCCCTTCGAAGCCAAGTGAGTTTCCTTATTGTGCCTCTAATACTCTTAACAAGCACATCACTCGGGTAGGAGATGCTTAATCCTCTCCTTGGTTCCCTGTGTTGCATCTCTTATGGAGACTGCCTTCAGGCTCCTATTGTGTGGGTCAATATTTAGAAAGCTATTGGGGGGGGGGGGGAATGGGATGGAACAGACTGAGACCCAGTCCCTTGAGTTGATTCCTACTGTATAACTTCTGCCTTGGTTGGCAGAATGAACAGATACCTTTCTGGGGTGTGAGGGAAGCTTTTTATAACCAAGAATGTGCAAGAGGAGATGAGCAGCAATCAATCCTGTTGGTGTTGTATTAACCTCAGGCTTGTCTGGGAATCAGCCTGTTTGTGCTGCACACTTGGGCTGTCCTGTTCTCCCACCCCTCTAATCTCTGTGCTAGAGGCATGTGGGAGCCCACCCTTGGGTCAGTCCTGGTGGAGCAGTGGTACCAAGGACTTGGTTGCAACCAAAATTTTATGTCAGACTGGACAAAGTCCATGTGGGGGGAGAGGGCTTCCCTTGCCCTCTTGAAGGGATTCTCCATGCCTGACTCAAATGCAGTGACACAGCTTTCGAAGTAATATAAGTCACTCTGACCCTGTTGGAAGCACCACCTACTTGGGTTGGGTCATCCTTGGATAGCTGGCACTAGGGTATGTGTATAGTTCTGCCTCCTAGCCCTGCCAGATGCTTGCTTCCTCACTTTTTATAGGCCAGGCCTTTTAGGACATGCTCTCTTGGTGATGACTGGGCCTTGCTTTCTCCAATTAGTTGGAGTAGTCTCTTAATCATGACCCTTTCTATTAGGAATCTGGAGTCTTCTCTCTTGATGCAAGACTTATTTTTAAAGTGCTTCAAGGCTGGATGTATTCAATAGTTTTGTGTCTCTCCCTTTGAAAGTCTTGGTTTAGAAAAGAGGAGCCTCTGCTGAAGTTCTTAGTGCTGGTGAAAGGGACTGGACTTGCTGAAATCTCCAAGATGCATACAGTCTGGCCGTGCCAGGGCCACCTTTATCCACAACATCCTGCGGCACTGTTCTGGGGGGATTTCCTGTGGGGTTTTCAATTCCAGGGAGGTCCAGGAGTGAATAAGTCTTAGTTGCTCAGTGCTAATGAGGCTGTTGTCCAGATTCCTGTTTGAGCCTACCCATTTCCCTCCATAAGCATCTTTGAAGGGATGGTGCAAGGCTCTGCTCCGTGCCTGGTCCCTGTCAGTATCCTGCTACCAACAGCCTTTCTCTCTTCCAGCTTCCTTGAAATCTGCAAAAATTCTCTGCTGCAAGGAAACAAGAGCGATGTCATCAGAAGATGATTCTGGCGGGGAGGCTTCTGGAGGCAGTTTCTGGGAGGTAAGCAGGGATACTTATGGGTGGGAGTGGTAGGAATGTTTTCTGCCTCCCACTCATGGGATTAGGAGGTTAAATTTTGGGCTCCTTTGGCAACACAATGCTGTCCTCAAATGGATGGGAGAGACTTTTTGACTTGCTCTTAGGAGTGGCTTTGACCTCCTCAGAAGGACATGCCTTCCCCTGCTATATTGTGACCTGCTCCTGAAGGTATATAAAGTCAGTGCAATAGAATTGAAGTGTTGTCTCTAATTGTAGGCTGGTAACTACAAGCGAACAGTAAAACGTGTGGATGATGGGTACCGGCTCTGCAATGATCTAATCTCCTGCTTCCAAGAGCGAGCCAAGATTGAGAAGACCTATGCCCAGCAGCTCACAGAGTGGTCCCGCAAATGGAGGACCAATGTGGAAAAGGGTGAGGCAGGCTGACTGTGCTGGGCACAGGCTCCACGAAACCGTCTTCAACATGTAGCACATGGTTGTGCTGTGAGTGTGTCTGAAGGAGATAAAGTGGATGGAACAGCACTTTAGGCTAGCACAAAAGGCTGCTCCTTTTGGTTTTAAGCTTGGAAAGAAAAATAAAGGAGCTGTCAATTCAGTCCAGCCATGTGAAGGGGATGTTCACTCCTTGAATTTTCAAGTTCTTCCTCCATCCCCCCCATTACAAAGAAAGGCTTTCCAGAATGCAGTGGGGTCCTAAATCCATGGATGACTCTGCTTGACAAACTGGCAAGCATTGTAGCTTGTTTTTCCTTCCTGCCCCCCACTTTTTTTTTAAAAGAACGGAGGAGAGGGTTAGGACCCTACTGTCAAGAGTATCTAATGATGGGTGATCCACAGGCACTTAATTCCCAAGGTTTTGGTGCCTTAGGGCTTAACTAGAAATGGTGAGGCGCATCTCCTAAGGAGACTGCCAGCCTGTGGAACAGGCTTTCAAGGGAACCAGGTTTTCACTTCAGTCATGGGATGCTATTAAGCTGGGGGTGGGAGGAAGTGTGTGTGTGCACACATTTTGAAGGTTGGTAGGGGAAGGGAACAACCTCCTGTGAAAACCTATAGCCTATAGGGGGCCATCTCTAGATGAGCAGCAGCTAGAGCTGAGATTAACTAGAACACCCATTCCAGCCACCACCTCGGCTGTCGGTGTAGAGCAGTTATGCAGGTCACGGCATTTGGAAGATAGGTAGCAAGTATCTGCTTTGGCTACGGTGGGAAGTTCTAAGGGGTTATCTTTGTGCTTGCTCCTCCAGGGCCTCAGTATGGTACCCTAGAGAAAGCTTGGCATGCCTTCCTGACAGCTGCAGACAAGTTGAGCGAGATCCATTTGGAAGTGCGAAACCAGCTGGCTGGGGAAGATGCAGAGAAGATCAAGGGCTGGCAAAAGGAAGCCTACCACAAGCAGATGATTGGGGGATTCAAGGAGACGAAGGAAGCAGAGGATGGATTCCGCAAAGCCCAGAAACCCTGGGTGAAGAAGCTGAAGGATGTGAGCAAGGAGTGGTGTCTGGGCAGGAAGGGGCTGGAATGTTGGGCTACTGGAAGGCAATTGGCTTGGGTGTTCTTACGTGGTGGGATTGCCTATAGCAAGGGTTACAACACGTGTCCTGAGCAGACTATAAGGGATGGAAAAACTTGGACATAGTGCATGGCTCTAGCTTTGTATTCCTGCCTGTGTTAGGTGGAAAATTCTAAGAAAAATTACCATACAACCCGGAAGGATGAGAAGACAGCACAGACCCGGGAAAACCATGCCAAAGCTGATGCCTCCATCTCGCAGGAACAGCTACACAAGTTGCAGGATCGTGTGGAGAAATGCACGCAGGAAGCTGAGAAGGTGGGTGTAGGCTATGTGGACTTGAGCCAACGAGTGTGTGGGCATCCCCTTCTGCCTCTCAATACCCCAGTGGAGGAAAGGAGGAGAGTAGGACTCTATCCTGTGCTGAGCAGTCTTGCTGCCTCTTGGATTCAGTGGCAGTAGAAGGAATGCAGTGTCTTGTGGGGTAGACCTCTATTTAGTTGGGTCTGGGGGGCAGGAACCGCAATTTGAGCAGGACATGATGCACTGTCCATTTATGACTAATAAGGCAGAGAACTTGGGATGGCATTATTCTAGAAGGTAAGAGCTGCAGCCTACTACCATGGAAGACCAGACTAGTGAGACCGGCTGCTACTTTCTCCCTTGCCCCCTCTGAGCAGAAGGGAGAGGGGAGAAGTTGCTGTCTTTAGATTGAGAGGAAAGCAACAGAAACAGAGGGGTCACTGGTGCAACAATATGCTCCTGACTCTGAGCTGACTACTTGCTGTACCCCTCACTTTGCTCTGTGTGGGATGAGGGGTTGTGGTAAGGGGAGAACTGCAAGGTTCCCTTGAGGGAAAGGATAGACGGGAGGGATTGTTTTGTGACTCTTCTCGTTCTGGGCTGCTGCAGTGTAAGGATCAGTATGAGAAAATGCTAGAAGAGCTGAACCGCTACAATCCCCGCTACATGGAGGACATGGAGCAAGTGTTTGAGGGCTGCCAGGAGGCAGAGCGCAAGAGGCTGTGCTTCTTCAAGGAGATGTTCTTGGATCTACACCAGCACCTCAACCTCTCCATCAAAGATGGGTACTGCTATGGGTTGTCTGCCTATCCAGGACCTAAAACACACTGATCCCTGGCAGGGGGGTAGAGACTCTAGGGGTCTTTGAGGAAGGAGATCATCTGCCTGTTGGAGGGGCTGCTGTCCTGTCCCTTCCTGTCTTTAACATTGCTGAGATTTGGAACTAATCTCTCTTTTGGCCAGACTTGTCTGGTTGTGAACAAAGTGCTCATCCCCCTTGAAGGTACTGTCTGCAGTTCCTCCTATGAGCCTCCAGGATTCCACCACATAGTCACTACCGTTGAGCACCCATCTTGTAGGTGTGGGTTCTTGACTTATCTGTTATCCTGACTTACCCATTTTTCAACAAAAGCTGTTTGTTTTTAAATGCCTTTGTTCAGAAGGCCTGTCTGGATAATAGCCACCCCTTCTCCTGGCTGTAGTACAAAGCAAGGGATTACATTTCTGAACCTCTTGCATTACTGTGCGGTGGGTACAGAACTGATTCTGCCCTTGCATCAATCCTGAAGGTTACAAGTGTCCTATACCCATGATGTTGACTCTTCTTTACCCTGCCCAGGATGTAAGATTGATCCAAGTCAGATGGGGCCATTTCCCTTCATCTCTACACAGGGAATCTATTTGCTTCTTTCAAGCTTTTTGACATGGGTGATGGGAAGGGGAGGTTTTTACCTTCCTGGGTTACTGCTGTGGCTGCTGTAGCAGCATCAGCTCCACTCCAACAGGCAGCCCAGCTCCCTGAGAGCCTGTGCTCTGCTCACTCCCTCCCCCATATGTACATAGTGGGAATAGGGCTGAAATGGGAGGACACCATTCCACTCACTCCATTTGTCCCCTTCCCCCTGATTTAAATGCTTGGTGGGTGCTTCCCTATGCAGATCATATGGCTGGGCAGAGGAAGTGCAGGGCTGTCACTATTGTGGCAAAGACTCTTGGTGGATCCCAGTGCCCCCCTATAGTTGGCAACCCGGGCAGGTGCTCCCTTCACCCTGCCTAGTTGCTAATATTGGTTCTGTTGCTTATTGCAGCTTTCAAACACTGTACCGAGATCTATATCAAGTGATCTTGGCTGCGGATGACCAGGAGGACCTGAAGTGGTGGCGCAACACCCATGGGCCAGGCATGGCTATGAATTGGCCTCAGTTTGAGGTAGTGTATGGAGAGAGTGTTACCACAGAGCCTTCCTCCCTGCCATCTGACCCTTCTTTTCCCCCGTGGATGTAGTTGTGGATTCCCACTCATGTCTATGTTGCTCCTTTTGAGGCATTTTCATTGGAAGTGGTTGGCCTCTAATCACCAGGGATCTAGAGGATCCCTGTGAAAAAAGGGATCATTTGTAAGCTGATTCTTCATGGCTATTTGTATGTATGCATGCCATCTGGACTGTGGTGCATCATTCCAGCCCCAGCTGGGGAAGATATACTTTTAGGGGGGTGTGGGTAGGCCCAGGGCCATGCAATGAGCTGTTTTTATCCAAAATGCTGCATCTCTGTCTACTCCCCCACCCCTCCCATCCTCAGGAGTCCTTTTAGGTGCCTCATCAGGGCTCCAACAGGTGGACTACTCCATTACATTGTGCTTAAATAACAAATAAGCTCTGTGGTGGTCCTTTCCCTCCCCTCCCCCACATTGATCTAAAACTCTGGATTTGGGACAAATATGGGTGTCTGCTTTTATCTTCCCCCTGAATAGGAATGGTCCCTGGAAACACAGCGGCCAATCAGCAAGAAGGAGAAAAGTAGTAAAGGCAGTGAAGATGTGACCCTGACTAGCATCGTGGCCACACGGGATGGTGTCTCTCCTACTCCTCCACAGACAAAGCGAGGGTAAGGCCTTCAGCTTGGGACATGGAGGACAAGGCCTTTCTTGGCCTACAGGTCATGGTTTAGCTGAACTGATAGCGACTTCCTTTATTTGCTTGCAGGTGCTTCTAATCTTGGGAAGGGGTGAGAGGGTTATTTTATTTCCATGGCTTAGGGTTGGTTGGTACTAGTACAAAACCTGATAAGCCAGTGGTGACCATTCAGGGAGCTGTCTTCCTATGACAGTCTCTAGAAACCAATCTAGAGAACAGCATGTGGATCTCTTGAGTAATTTCTTACTTGGTCCACACCGTTCCTGCTATAGGCCAGTTCTAGTAGCACAAATGGTGCTTGGGGTCAAATACAGGGGAAGGGAAGGAAGGCATTGGTGACGGGGATTGCAGGGCCATCTCCACAGTGCTCTCTGTGCTCAGTCTGCTGGATTCAGGGCCATATTTGCCAATCCACAGGTTTTCCTATCAAGAGGAGCAGAACAGCCTCTTCTACAACAATCTGAGGGCATCTGCCCATGTGAAGTTAGTATGGAATGCTGTCCTCACAGGGGTGACTGGGCACAAAACATCTATCTTCTGCTTTCTTTCCCTCCCTTCCATGTGTTCCCCACCCCTTTTTGCTGTGGCTGGGAGGCTGGCATGCCAGCTGAGTCTGCCTTTGATAGGGGATGTAGTTTACCCCCTCTTTTGTGTGCTTGCCTGGAAATGGACTGTCTTTGGAAGTAGCTGGGTGATGCCTGCCTTTATGGGTTTAAGCTGACAAGCTGTACGTTTGCCTGCCTGAGAGAACAGAGAAGTGGAAGGAAGGTGCTTTATAGGGACCTGACTTGAGCCTGAATTTCCTGAGCTGCTTCTAGCTGCTCCTGGTCGGTGTGTGTCTCTCTCTCTCTCCTTCTGGGTACCCCACTCTCCTGTCCTGCCTCATGCTCCTTGATCTGTAACCTAACTCTCCATAGGGATCTGGGGCATGATTCAGGAGACTGGGGAAGTACCTCAGAGTCAGTCTGGAGTTTCCCAAGAGGCTTTTTATTGTACCCCTATCCCTCTGCCCCTTTCCACACAGCGGAGGGAAAGAGGACCTTTCAGAGTGGTCAGATGAGGACACTCCCAAGAAGTGTCTGGAGGCCAATGGACATGAAGAGGACCTAAAGGTACCAGGTGTGCGGGTGCGAGCGCTGTATGATTACACAGGACAAGAGGCTGATGAGCTGAGCTTTAAAGCAGGTACAGAAGCACTAATCCTTTTACTAATCTTTTGCCACTACCACTTTGGCTGACTGATTGAAACATCCCACTGAGATCTGGATAGCCCTGTTGGGAACCATACAGTGCCTTTCCCTGCCACCAACCCAGGGAAAGCACTGGGCAGCCCAGACGCTGCCCCTGCTCCCACTCAGTAGGGAGGTCAACAAGGCACAGGGATGCTAGAAAGGGAATCCTTTGCTTTTGGCCACAGAGGGCGGGGGAAAAGGCACAGCTGAAATTTGTGAGGCAAGTCTGGGATTTACCTGGTATGTGTCACAGGTGACACCCTGAACAAAGGGAAAAAGGGGAATGCAGGCAAGCTCTTTGGGTGCCTTCAAACTTGATTGTATACTGCTCTCTTAGAATCACAGGGCTGGAGGGGACCTCAGGAAGCTATCTACTCTAGCACCCTGCTCCAGGGAGGATCTTCCCAGAAGAGTATCTAACTTGCTCTAAATAAAACTTCCAAGAATGGAGATAATGAAGTTTCTCTAGGTAATCTGTTCCATTTCTTACCCATTCTCATAGTGAGAGAATTCCTTGTAATAACCAATCTACTGTTCCGTATTGCAATTTATTGCTCATTGTCCTGTCCTCTGCAGCCATGAAGTCATCCGTTGCCATCCTCTTTATAACCACACTTCAGATACTAGAAGACCGTTGCCAAATTCCCTTTCAGTCTTCTCTTCCTCACTAAATCCCCCCCCAAATCTTCTTAGTTTTTTCTTGTAAGTCATTTTTCCTAGATCTCTGTTGGGTTTTTTTTGTTGTTGTTGCTCTCTGAGGGACTCTGAATTTTGTTCCTGCATTCTTGAAGTGCAGTGTCCTATACTGGATACATTGTTTTAAATGAGGTTTCTGTGGAAGAATCACTTCCCTTGACTTATAAGTGATGTTACTGTTAATACAACCTAGTATACTATTGGCTTTTTTTTCCCCAATAAGAGCACACTGATTCATAAACTTGTAATCCACTATCACCCCAAGTCCTTTTAGGTAGTACTCTGACCTAGCCAGTTATTCCCCAATATGCATCTGTGCATACAGAGCCATCCCTTGGGGCGGGGCGCAAATCGGGCCCTGTACAGGCCTCACTGGCTGCTGCACACCGCTGGCTCCATGCTCTGCCTGCTTGCTGCCCTGGCCCTGCACAGCCTGATATGCCCCGGGTCCCGCATACCCCTAGGGGTGGCTCTGTGTGCGTGTGACTGTTCTGTCCTTAGTGTGTGTACAGTCATTGAATTTTGACCATTTTTTCTAGTTTTATTAAGGTAATTCTGAGTCCTAATCCAATTCCCCTCTGCCCCCCTCCCCCCCAATGTCTGCAACTCTACCCAGTTTAGTGTTGCTTGCAGATTGGCTAGCTGTGTACTCAGTTCCACCCTCTGAATCATTAATGAAAATATTAAACCGTATTGGACCCAGGACAGATTCTCGGGGAATCTTACTCAATGCTTCCTTCCATTGAGCCATTGGCTACTCTTTCAAATGCAATGATCTAATGAATTAGATATCTAATGTATAGCAGTTCCGCCTAAATTAAAGGAGTGCAGTCTACTAATGAGAATGTCATGGAAGACCATGTTGAAAGTCTTGCTTAAGTTGAGGTAAATCACAATGACTTGCTCTTAGCCTAGCCATAAAACCTGCCTTCCTGTCATAGAAGGAAATTGGGTTGGTCAATAGGAGTTGTTCTTGATAAATCCATCTTGTCTGTTCCTTTAGGTCAGGGGTGCCCACAAGCCAGATCCCACCCCTAGTGCTGTCATTCAGCCTGTGGGGCTCCCTATTGTAGATAAGGCAATGCAGGACCTGGTCCCAGCTAAGTGGGGGTGGCACAAGGCCCCCAGAGGCCAATCCTGGCTGGCTGGGTGGTAGTGGCATGGGGCCCAATCTGGCCCATGAGTGTACACACACTTCATCTAGACCACAGGGCTAAAATCAAAGTACTACTGCTCAGAGGCAAGGATAGGTGCTCCCAATAGAGGGTGAGGGATAATGCTGGGATCTCTGTTTTGAGTTAGTTTCTACCCCACCTGCCTCTCCTCAGTTTCCAAAGGGCTATCTGGATCTCAGGACTGTTTCTAATCTTGCTTGTATTGAATTTTGTGTATGAGGAGTGTGGTGCATGTCATTAGGAATACATGTTGCCTTTTTTTCAAATGGGTGCTAAAGTCCCTGGGCCTGCACATGAGGCCAGCATCTGTTCTGCTGAGTCATCACCTAGACTTTTTAGCACTAACTTGCTTGTTGCTCAGTGCAGCAGCTTTTTTTTTAAAGCTGTCCCAACAGTACAGGTGGATTGGCATAACTAGCCAAGAGGTCAGGGGATAGAATTTCCCTTCCCTGTACATGTTGGGGAGCCTCCTACAGGCCAGAAGGCTCTAGGATTTGATTTTCCCTCCGGCTGCTTCCCTACCAAGTAGCTTGGACCCAAGCTAACCAGTCCCTTCCATATCAGACTAGAGGTGTATCACTCAAATCCTAATATAACTAATAAATCCATTAAAGGGGACTTCATCTGCCCCCAGGGTGAGGTCACTTTCCAGTCCTCAAGATAAACGGGACTGTATCATAGGAAAACTCAAAAGCTGTATCTGACCATATATACAGGTTTTTCTATCAGTGGGAAGGGTTCCTGTTTCTTCCTTTCATGGTGCAAAGCTGGGGAGGGTAAAGGAGAGTGTTGTGTCCCCCCCCCCGCCTGTCTGGTTGGGAAACCTAGGCCCATTCTGTGGCTTGTTTTGACTGCCTTGGGCTTTGGCTATTCTGTGTTAAAACCCAAGATGGTTATTTGTCTAAAGCTGAACATCTTGCAAGTCTGTCGTACCTGTTTCAGAGGAAACATGCAGTAGAGGGGACCTGAAACAAGACTCTATGCAGCTGAAGATCTGGGGACAGTAATGCTCCCCGAGGATCCTCTGACCTTGCAGATGCCAACTTCTCTGTCTTGGGAAGGGGGGAGGAAGAGTGCTGATTAGCGAGAAGCCAGTTTTTTTGGTTTTTTTTTTTTTATAAGCAACCCATTTTTCCCCCTTCAAGAGCTCCCTCTGAAAGACTTCTTGCCTCCAGTTGTTGTTCCCTCTTTTCAGTGCACGCTGAGACATTGTGAAGGATCAAGATTATATTAGTTAGGTGCATCTAACTCGTATGGTGTTAGTGCACACGTGTGTATGTGCACTTCTGCCCTAAGTCCCTACATGAGGTCTTCAGACACTACGGAAAAGCTGTGGAGGCTCCTGGCTCTTTCCCAACGTTAAATTGTTGTGCTGCTTCCCTTTAGGTGAAGAACTAATGAAGATCAGTGAGGAAGATGAACAAGGCTGGTGCAAAGGCCGGCTTCTCACAGGCCAGGTTGGACTCTATCCTGCTAACTATGTCCAGAGGGTTGGATCATGATTGCTGCTCCCCTCCTAAGGCATCTCTTGCACATGCAGCAGCCTACCCCTGCAGAGGTCATCTGGTCACTGTTGGCCCCTAACCCACCTCAGCAGGGTGCACAGCCACGTCTGGACTCTGATTCTGAGGACACTTGTTCCTTGTAACCAATGCTTCATTTTAAATTTCTAGAATCATAGGGGTTTTCTAATAAATAAATATGGATGAGTAAAGGCTTATTCTGCCTTTGAGCACTAGGGGAATTTGGGGGTGGGATGTGGACAGGGGCTAGGGGTTTTGCTTGGGTGGTGCAGTGGCACATACTGATGCTTGTCTATTAAAGACCACTCTTGCCTGCTTCCTTTGTGCCTATGCATTAAAGCTAGCTGGGATCTTCTGGGTCCACAGGTGGCTGCTGACTGCTCTATCCTTAAGTTCCTCTAAAGGGGGATTGAGAATGTGCTACAGTAGCTTTCAGATTTGGTGGTGGGGATATGGCCCTGAAAAAGCTCTAGGAGTCTTGGCTGCCCTTGGCCAAAAAACAAGCATTCAGTTTATTCTAGATGAATTAGGAAGGCTTCAGTAATGCTGGTAGTACTGGTGTCTGCCCCAGTTTCCTGTGGGAGCATTCTGAGGTTCAAATAAATCTCTTATCTTTGACAAGTCTCATTGCCTCCCCCAGCCATCTGGGATAAACTATATAGGTTGACAGTTCACAAAACAGCTGTCTGATAGACCAAGGGTTGTGCACTGTCCCTGCTTTCCTAGTTGTGGGAGGGAAGGGCTAACTTGGGTTCCTTTTCTAGTACCAGTAAGACCATCCTTTCCCCAGTCCTCCTGGCCCTTGACTTCTACACTGAGTAATTACACCTTTAGAAAAAATCTTGTCGCCCATTTTAACAGTTATGTGGCATAAAAATGTAACATTAACTAAGGTTTTAGTTCAACTGTAAGAGACCTAACTTCCCAACTGTTTCCAGATGCCACTCAATGGTGGTGACCTAGGAATGTCTTGAGGCATGGGTCCTTTCTCTATCTTGGTGTTCCTCCGGAGCAACTGAGATCAACCAGGGGCCTGGTACTCGGCTAAGGGTCTCTGATTCTAGCCTTCATATTCCAAACAAGATGGACCAAGGAACTGAAGCTTAACAGATGAGCTTTATGATTGAAATGCCTCCTTAAGGTGAGAGCAGAATTTGGTTCCTTGGTACAATAGGTCAGATCTGGGTGAGTGTGAATTGTGGTAGAGGCTGTGGCCAGACAAAATTTTTTCTGTTTTAAAGTTGGTGGGGGGACTTGCCACTGGTGACCACATATCACCTAAACCACTGTAATGTTTTATTTTGTCCTGCTGTAAGTGACACTACCTGGGTGAACTTATACTGAAATAAGAGCTGCTAGACTATGACTGCTTCTTTCTGCAGGATTGAGTGGATACATAAAACCATTATGAGGGAACAGCTTGAAACACGGTAACTCCCTCCCCTTCAGCTGGCATAACTATTTCGTTTGTCTGTATCCTGAGATGCAGACTCAAGGTGGTAAAACACTAGTTCACAGAATTTGTCTGAGGAAAGCAACCAGGGCTGTATTAGCATCCATGAGGTGCTTGGCCTGGCCAAAGAGAATCAGAGTAGCTGGAAACAAGTTGAACCAGGCATGAAAGGAATGTCATCGGATGGAGGTGTGAGGCACAGAAGGGAGTTGCATGCTGACCTAGATAGGTAGCTGACTTGGAATTCTTTAACTATAGGCTAGTAAAAATACGCCATTACTTATTGGTCAAAGGAAGAGCTGCACAATGTGACATTCAGCAGGGAGTTCAGTTGAGCTGCTTGTAATGTTCGTAGAGTGAAGAGGAGCAGACTCAACTCTACTAACCTACAGTAATTGGAGCAGTAGCACAGGAAGGAGCAACATTTCTGCTGAAATGGCAGAAGCTAAATTCCTTATCAGACTGTATGCATTGGCAGGGTTTGAGCAGATTCCCTTGGGCCCAAAGCTTTGCTTGGCTGTCTCTGGAATACATTTGTCACTTGGCAGTATTTCTTGGTACAACAGTGCAGATGTTGGGTAATCACAGAAGAATGGATGTATGCTGTTGTCTTCTGGGGCAGCTGACCTTCAGGATCAACTACAGAAAGGACTGGAAACTTCAAAAAGAAACTACCTGGAACTGAACATGACCCAGACTAGACATCCGTTTTTAAGCTCTACTTACTAAGCAGAAAAATGGATCAAAGGATGGGTGACTCTAAGATTCATGCAAAGGTGAATAGTTGGAGACCCAGAGTTTTTAAATCTCTCTAGTTGGCTATGATCTTGCCAGTCTACTTCTTAGCTTAAGCAGCATTGAGGAAAATGCCTTCCCTAAGAAGCAGAATAGATATCAAGCCCACCTCGGAGATCTTGTATTTACTGACTGAAGTGTGAGTGTTGTAAGCCCTGTAACATGCTGCAAGAGGATTCTCATGGCAGAGAATCTGCAAATCCTGAGATAGTAGGGGTAGTGTACTGGGCCATGGCTTTCTGTGCTTAGTCTTCCAAGCTGTAATGGACCATAATCTGTGACTCCATATACAAAAGGATATGGGAAAGTGCAACCAAGGATACAGCCGCTTTTTAAGTACCATGATTCTGAATTTTTAGCCAATGTGTCACTGTACAAATGGAGTACATGCCATTACTTGTTTTGAGTTTCATTTCATTTCGAAAGCATTGTTCCCCTTCGTTTTGTCAAAACTTTCTGTTTCGACTCTGTTTTGACGTTTCGCCTATAGGCTATAATGGGGAAGCATAAAACTAAGTATAACTTTGTCATTTCTTGCCTAATTTAAATGAAACTTGCAGGGATGGTAGCTCCTTCTGAGGCCACAGAGCCTGCCAAGTTCCAAG